AATTAATTTTCTTTTCCCTTCTAGTACTTCTCTAATCATTAGCTAATTCCTTCGCCATTTATTCATCCAAAGCTTCTTTATCTTACTATTTGTATTTTTAATCATCCATTTTTTAAAGAAAATCATAAATATTAATTGAACTTAAAGAAAGCTATCCTATTTTTTCATTAGTCTAATTAAATTTATTATCAATACTTTTATTATAATCCTTAGTTTTTTCCTCTCCCCTTTACAATAAAATATCGATATCTTCATCTGTATAAGTTCCTTCTTTAGCCTTAAAAATTGCAGAAGCCCCAAATTGAATAATGTCTTTAATTTCTTCTTTTGTAAAAACCCTATTTTTCTATGCTAATCTTCCCTATTAAATAATAAGAGAATCCCATTTTAATTTAATTGTTTATCTTTCAATAATTTTCTCTTCAACTGTACTTTCTGTAATAAGCCTATATACATTTACAATACTTTTTTAACCAATACGATGTGCTCTATCCATTGCCTATAAATCCATCTAAGGATTCCAATCTGAATCATATAAAATGACTGTATCTGCCGTAGCTAAATTAATACCGAGTCCTCCTGCTCTTGTACTTAACAAAAATACGAACTTAGTGGAATTTTCGGATGTAAATTCACTTATTTAAGCGTCTCTATCACTCATATCTGTATTTCCATCAATTCTACAATAATTAAACTATCTAAAATTACAGTAATCTTCCAAAATATCCAATATCATAGTCATTTGTGAAAAAATAAGGACCTAATGTTTCCCATTTCTTAACTTCATTAACAATTTATCTAAAACCATCATTTTACCACAACTAGTGATTAAATGTTCTCCTAAAGTAGGTAATCCTTCTTCTTCTACACCCTCAAATAAATAAGGATGATTACAAACTTTTCTCAATTACATAAGAGTGTTTAGATACATTTTTTTATCGTCAGGAGAATCTGTTATTGTTTTTTTCTAAGAAAGTAAATTCTTGTACATATTTAATTATAATTCAGTTAATCCTACATATAAATGCATTTCTTTTTTCGGAGGAAGAGTTTTCATTACTTCTCCTTTTGTTCTTCTCATCATAAAAGGCTTTAATATTTTATGTAATTAAGATATCATTTGTAAATTTTTTTAATCATTTTCATTGTTTTTCCCACTTACTTTTTTTTATTTTTGTTTTGTTTTTTTATATATAAAATTTAGATATATATATATTTATTTTTTCTGTAATAGTTTTTTTTTGTTAAAAACAAAAAACAAAATCAACAATAAAAAAAGAATAAAAAATATGGAAAATTTAGCTTTTTTTTATTTTGATTGAGTTTTTAAAAAAACATCACAGAAAAAATAAAAATATATATGCATATATATTTTATTTTATTATAAATAATTACAATTGCTTGCACTAAACCATTCATCGAAAATTTCACTTTGATTAAATAAATCAGGTAAAAGGAAATTTAATAAACTCCATAACTCATGAAGATTATTTTATAAAGGTGTACCAGTAAGAAGAATTTTATAATTAGTTTTAAAAATACGGATAATAAGTGAAAGCTAACTTTCTTCATTTTTTATTTTATGAGCTTCATCAATAATAATATATTAAAAGTTTATTTTTTTTAAGTTTTTTTGGCATATTTTTGCGCCTTCAAAACTAGTTATACACACATCAAAATTTTCTTAGTTTATATAATTTTCTAATATATCACTTCTTTCTTCCTTTGTCGCTATTAATTTCACAACTTACAACAAGGCATCCATTTAGAAAATTCATTTACCCAATTTCCTAATGTACTTTTAGGTGCTATTATTAAATGAGGACCTTTTTATTTAAATATTTAAAATTTATTTTTATAATTCTTTTAATTAAAAATATATAGATATATATAAATTAAATATATTATTTATTTTTATACCTGTTATCTTTTTATATTCTTTTAAAAAACCAATTAAAGCTATTGTTTATATTGTCTTTCCTAAACCCATATCATCTGCTAAAATACCATTAAGCCCAGTTTCTGTATAAGCTTACAAGCCAATTTAAACCTATCATTTGATAATCTTTGAGTTTTTCATTTTTTAGAATTTTTGGCTAGGATTATAATATTGTAGGAACATTGTCATTATTTTCGTCTATTTCTTCATTTAATAATTGTTCTTCTTCGGATTTTTCCTCTAGATAATGGCCTCTTTTTTTAACATTTTATTTATTTACTTTCTTTTTTTAAGTCATGACGTGAAACTAAAAAGCTAGCATATTATTCGGCTTTTGATAAAAGTAATTAAAATTTTTGTTCTAATTCCTCATTTTAATTCTATTTTTTTAAAAAAATATTTAAGTTTAATTATATTTTTTTACTTATTTTTATTGTTGCTATTTTTATTCTTCTTTTTAATCTTGTTTATCGATTTCAGTTGATATTTATTTTAAATATTATTATTGAATACATTTTCTATCAATAATTTTATCATTTTCATCATTGTGATTATTAGTATTATTATTATTGTTATTATTATTAATATTATTGTTATTTCTCATTTTTTTTATGACTTAATTTTTAAAATTCTTTCCTTAATTTTATTATTATTAATTTTTTTCTTCCTTTATTTTTTATCAAGAAAAAATATATATTATATATCTTATTTCCACTTTGTTTTATTTTTTTATATTAAAGTATAAATATATATGTGAGTAACTATTTGAACATATTTTTTTTAACTTTTTTTATATAGCGCGCGCAAATAATAAAAAAAATAAAAAAAAATATAATAATTATTATTTTTTTTTTTTTTAGAAAAAATTAACTTTAATAATGTCCAATTTATAAAATTATATAAAAATAATTAAATTAAATTAACAACGAAAATCTCTTATAATTAATTATATTTAATAAATAAAATTAATTTTATAAATTATAAGTTGATTATGAAAGATTAGTTAATATAATTTTTATCCTATTTATATAATTAAATATTTGTAAATTAATATAATATTATAATTATTCTAATTTATGTTTTAAACAATAAAAGTTATTTAATTAAAATTAATTTTTTAAATTATAAAATTTATTTTAATTTATTTAAGAGTAAAATATAATGCATTTATCATAGAAAAAATAAAAAAAAATAATATATATAATTAATTCAATATATATTAATAAAATATAAATATATATTTTTATATCATCATATTCTTAATTTATTATATATTTTCATAATTATATTCTATTTATTTTTTAAATATTATTAAAGACTATTGCGTATAATAAATATTTTTAATTATAAGTGTAAGATTTTATTTTTCAAATGAATTAATTAAAATTATATTATATTAAAATTTATTCATTAAAATTTATTTATTCTTAAAATAAGATTTTTTTAAAATATTAAATTGTAAGTTATTTCTTAATTTAAACAATTATTGATTATTAAAGTATTGATATAAAATTAATTATTATTTATTATTTAACTAAAAAATTTAAATTATGAGTACAACTTGTAATTTAAGATGTCTTTTACAATTTAAAAAAAAATTTCTAGTCAAATAATTTATATTCTTTACTAAATACTTTTATGTATTTTCCAATATTTTACTATTATTTAATTTAATTAATTATTATACCTGTATAATTTATTTTTTCTAAACTAAATTCTATTAAAAATGACTTAAGTTAATCTACAAAATCAATTTTATTTTTAAAAATGAATATTAATTATTTAAATTTGTTTTTTATATATTGCTACTATAAAATAGTATTTTTGATTAATTTAATTTTTCTTAATCTTATTCAAAATAATTATTAATATATTTAAAATTAATAAAAAGTTTAGAAAATTCATAAGTCAGATATTTTTTTTAATAGTTTTAAATACTCTTATTAATTTGATAATTAAAAAAAGAATAAATGTATATAAAAATATAAATATAAATATTAATATATATATATATATATTAATATATATATATATATATAATTTTAAGTATTATTTATTTAATTTAGTTTTACTTACTAATTATGTATGATTAAAAAGTATTATTATTATAATATTATCTGAATTTTTATAAGAATAAGAAATTTCTTAATTTTAAATTTAATTTTTTTATGGTTTATTATTTCTTATCTTTTTTAATTAATTTTTTTTAAAAAAATGTATTTGATTGTTTTTAATTTAAATCTAATTTATGTAGCTTATGTATAATGATATTTATTTTACATAAATATTATTCTCTAATTTAAAAAGAAGTTATTTAATAAAATTAAAATTATATTAAATTTTATTCTTAATAAGAAACATATTTTGTATAAATCTATTTATATGTATTTTTTCCATAAATATAGTTCTTAAATTATTAATTAGATTTTCAAATCCTGTTTTAAACTATAAACATCATTATTTAAATAATTTAAACAAAAAAAATCGAAAATAAATTATTATTATTATTTTTAAATTAAGATATGATTAAATTATTATTTACCTTTAATAATAAAAAATATAAAAATTATTTATATATATATATATATAAATATATATATATATATTTAATTATTTATATTATATATATACATATATTATAATTTTTGTTGAATTATTTTTTTTTTTAAATTAAAAAAAATAGATTTAGTTTTAAATATTTTACAAATAATTTTTATATTTAATATAACTTATTTTGATAACTTTTCATTATAAATATATAATATTTTAATGATTAATATTGCTCATATTCATTATTTTTACTTTTTTATAAGTTTTATGACTAATTTTAATTTATAAATCCTAACTCTACATTTGTTTATTTTTAATATACTAAATTATTATAATATAAGTATTTATAGTAAAAAGTGGCAATTATTTTTGATAAAAAGCTCTTGAAAAAATAAGAATTTTATTTGTTTGAAATAGTAGTTATAGTAATTTTGAAATTTAGTTTAAATATGTAAAATATATTTATATATTTTAAAAAATTATTAAAATAAGAAAAGATAACAATAATTTATCTATATATAAAATAATGAATATTTTATATAAATATTATATTTAATAGCAATAAAATAGTAATTGATTTTTTATTTTGTATATATATAAATATAATATTATAATCAATAAATATATATTATAAAAATATTTATTAAAAAAAAAATATATGATATTTAATTAAATTAATATATGGCAAACACGTTTAAATATTTTTATACTTTATTAAAAATATTAATTTTTTATTTTAAAAGACAAAATAATATTAAGTATTTACATATATATTATAAGTATTAATTTTATATTATTTATTTTTATATCCAGAATTATTTAATTATAATTTGTAAAACATTTTATATTATTTTACACATAATATCAAATTTTTAATACTTAATTTTTATAATATTTCTTTTATTTAATTTGCAAAAATATTTATTTAATTATGGTTCAATTCGCATTTTAATATTTTATTCTTATTAGAAAAGCAATTAATATTATTTACTAAAATTTCTTAAGTTAAAAAATAAAAAAAATTGTTTACTTTAATTTTGTACCATAATAAAATGATTATTTTATTATATATATTTTTATATTATATTTTTTATATTAATTTTATTTTTATTATTATTATTATTATTATTATTAATTAAAATATGTTTTATATTTCTTTATTTTTAATAAAATATTATAAAAAAGTATAAAATTATGTTTTTATTTAATTTCATTTATATAAAAAATTCTAATTTCTTGATTTATTTTAAATTATTTTTAATTATAAAATTTATTATTTATTAAACATATATAAATCGAGCATAAAGCAATTTACATAATAACCTTATTTTCACATTTTATTATTGATATGCTTTCGGAATTATATAAAATAATATAATTAAATAACATTTAAATTTAAACTTTATTATTCTCCTATGTTTTTATATATTTTTTTTTATAAAAAAATATATATATAAAAGCATAGGAGAATAATAAATAAATTATATTTATTTAATATATTATAGATAATAATTAATTAAAATTTATTCTATTAATTAAAATTTTTGGTTTTAAAACTAAAATGCTTTTATATGAAATAATTTTCTTTTTTAAAATAAAATAAAATATGTAAAGTATTTAAACTATAATTATTAATTTAAATAATTATATAGAATCAATAAAAATAATCATATGTCATATCTATTAAATTTTTGAAATCTGTTTTAATAATTTTAGTTAATTATGATAATTAATAGTTGTTTAATCATGATTATATATATAAAAAAAAACTTAGCAAGGTTATGTTTTTGAATTAAATTATAAATATTTTAATGGAAACATTATAAATATTTAATTAAATCTTAATCTAAATTTATTAACTATATTCTCTTTTTTGTTAGAAGATTTTTATTTAATTGATTTAATTTATGTTTAAAATAATTCACTTTAATTATATATATGTATATATAATAATCATTAATTAATATTAGAATTAAAATTCTATTATTTTTTTTCTTTAGTTATAATAAAAAAATTAAATGATTAAAAAATATAACATAAAGTTAACTAGTTTTATTATAACAAAAAATAATTTTATCATTTAAAAATAATATAACATTTTTTTAAAAAATAATCACATTTTTTAGTAAATATTTTTTATACAATTAATCAATTATAAATGATTTTTTTTATTTATATATCAAAACTTAAAATAATTAATTTTTAAGACAATAATTATAATCAAATGTTTTTTTATATATACATAAATATTAATATAAAAAGAATAAGAATTTATTATGTCAATAAAAATAATAATCAGATGCTTTAATAATAAATTACTAATATATAATTATCAATTAATAAATTCAAATCTAAATTAGTTTTATTATTTATTTATATTTTATTGTAATTAATTTTTTTATTCAAACAATAAAATAAAACTAATTAATTATACAGTAATAAAAATATTATAAAATAAATTAAGAAAATATAATATTAATATTTAATATAAAAAAAGTAAAAAAATTGACTAAAAAGTATATTTAAATAAACTCATTATGTAAAATACATTATTTATAAAAAAAACGATTAAGAAATATTTAGAATGTATTGTAGTTAAGTAAAATAATAAATAAATTATTAAATAGAATAATTGAATAAAACTAGAAATAATTTATTATTAATAATACAGATTAGAGTGTAAAGACTTAATTGAAAGTTAAATAGATGATGATTTAAAAATTCTAAAATATTAAAAAAAAAAATTGAAAAATTCTATAAATCAAAATGAAGAATTATCGAAAGAAATAATATAACTAAAAAAATTAAAGTTATTCCTTTATTAAATAAAAAAGGATTTCGAATACATGGATAAAAATATTTTTTACTATTTATAAACACTTTATTAAGAAAAAATTAATAATTTTGTTTAAATAAAGAATTATTTAATAGTGTAAGATTTTATAGAGATTAGTTATTTAATTATTTTAATAATTATTATTTTATAAAATCTAAAGCTATTATTTTTTGAA